ATAGCGACAACTTAAATGCACTTCACAGAACAGATAAGCTGCACCACAGGCACACATCACAATAACTATTGTGGAGCAGATAGATTTGAAGCTCATACAGTAAGCAATCCAAACCAGCTGTGTTGCCCAAAACCCCGAGCTTCCAGCCAAGGTAAAAGATCACATGAATTCCTAATGGACCCACCTGATCCAGAGGACATCTTTAGCTGGGACATTTTGTTTGGGCCACGCAGAAGATCTGTTGTATCACAAAGCCCACGATCACCCTAAGATACGGTGTTGCTCAAAATGGAGCTAAGCATAGGTACAAAAATAAAGCAAACTATGTGATTTACTATATATATTTGTCTATATTTATATATGGATGAAGAAGTGGAGAACTCTAAATGCAACACAATTCAAAAATACTAGCTCTGCTCCTGCGGTTAGATTCTCTCCACCTCCGACAGCCTCTCTCTCTAGCCTCCTGGACATTTTGGATGCATATTAATAAAGTACTTTCTTTTAAATACTTTTTATTTATTTCCCTCCCCCTTTAAAATAGAAAGTAAATATATATTTATATAGTTGTATATACAATGCCATTTTCAATACACAAAGATCACGTATTTATGGGGTCATACAGTGTCAAGACTGTTTCATTGTCGCCTGGTGTTTCAGAAACAACAGGGGACATACTTGCAGTTTCAGGCCCCAGGATCAACTTCTCCAGGGGAGATGTATAGCCCCTACAGGTCTGTTTACTCCTCAAGGGAGTTTTATCTTGTGACCTCAAGAGGAATGGGAAAAAAGCCCTCCTGCTTTGTTGAGAGAGACCTTGGTTTTGGTCACTCAAAATCTTGGGCCAAACTCTCCTCCTCTTGTTTACACCCAGAGGTAAATTGGGTTGCATGGCGGCACTTTTCAGATTTCAGCTCCAAGTCTTGCTCGGTCTGGAATGAAAGGAGGATCAAGGAGATTCCTGGGCCCACCAGGAAGCGAAAGGGGCGTGGTTTCCCAGCTCCTTCACACAAACAGGCTCGCCTAGACACCGGGGCAGCCATGCGACATCCCATCCCTCATTCCACACCTGCCCATAATTTCCAACCATTTGGGAGATATTTCACTGCATTGTGCAACGCACTGGCAGCTAAAGGACCAAATCCTGAGAGCTGAAGGCCACCTGACCTCCGTAGAAGTTGCCAGTGTTCATCAGCTCTTAGACTCGGTCCCGAAGCAAACAGCTGTCAACCAGCCCCTCATTACTTGGGAGTTATAAGAACACTCTACTTTACGGATTTTTAATTTTTTTTTTAAACTTATCAACAAAAAGCATGCTTGCAACATCTGAATCCCCAAGACTCAGACCAACCCACATCCTGCTCCCCTTTCTCCCCCCTCCCTCTCCCTACTTAAAGTTCTAAGCCATGCATTTAGCAAACTCCCAGAGCCCTTAGGATTTGGGTTGGGGATGACCTCTCAATTGCACGTGTCCTGAGGTTACCCAACAAAACTGGGTGAGATACGTATTGCCATACAAAAAGACAAGGAACAGAGACTCCGGCATTGAGGAGTCTACTAGGTTAAAACATAAGAGGGGGAAAAAATCCATCTCTGAAAGGATCACTGATAGGGACAGAAGAACAAACTGATGAAGAATGTTCTCCGCATGGAGTGTATCCTACAGAGAGGGCAAGGAAAAACTGAACTCACTTCCTAGCTTTCCCAGCTCTCATCCAAATCTAACTGCCTCAAGCCCCTTTCTCGGAGAGCAGAATAAGGCTTTATGATCATTCCCTGGACACTAATACTTCCATACAGGGATCTGTTTTCCTACCACAAAAGTGAAACAGAGAGTGAGTGAGTGAGTGAGTGAGTGTGTGTATCTACCTTGCCAAACCACAGTTTAGTTTGGGGGCACACTGCCTTACACACCAAGGCCATCACTGCTTTCTCAGCTGTAATGAGTCTTCAATGCTTTGTATTTACCATCAGCACTTTTGAAACATTAGTGAATTTAAACTTCACAACCTTCCCTGTGAGGCACTATACCAGTCTGAGAGATGGGTAAATAGAGTCACCGAACAGGGAAGTGATTCAAGATAATAAAAAGCAAGTCAACAGTGGAAATGGGAACTCAATCCTGACTCCCAGTCTTCCTGTGAAGACCACCCCTCCTCTGCTTCACCGTGCACTCACCCTCTTGCAGAGCACCGAGAAAAACACGCACAGTGAATTCCCTCCAAAACCCTGCATGTGACAACTGACCACCCACAAAACAGCGAAACCGACTGCACACGAAGTGCTGACAAATCACTTGTCAGTTACTCGTCACCTTCATGGTGACCTATAACAGTAGTAAGTACAACATTTCCAGATGACAATGTGATTTTGAAGTTTATAGTGTCCCTTTAAATACACGGATTTTCAAGAGTCTTGGAGAGCACACATACACAGTTCTAAACTCTGCTCTAGATTATGCAGGTGTAAATCCGCAGTAATGAAGTTAGCTGAGGTATTCTGAATTTATACAGGTTTAAGCGAGAACAGAATTTAGCTAATTTTTTAATGCAAAAAAAGACTTGCAAATCTCTAGTTTATACACACACAATGGAAACTTCACTTTTCATGAAGCAATTAATGCTTCCTCCTTTACGAATACAGTATATGCTACTTTTGGATGGACCAGTGAGCATGATGCTTACTGCTGCCTTTTTGGAGAGGTAAGGGGTGAACAAGTCCACAAGCTAGGATGACAGGCCATTCAAAAACTTGCAGAAATACACCACCACCACCACGTTGTGAGGGCATCACAGCACTCTGGCACGGTGCATTGCAACAGTTCAGCTTTTTGCTGCAATAGTGCAAATGTTACAGCAAGGACAAGTTTCTCAACTATAACGCCACAGCTTGCAAGTGACAGTCTTGGGTGGTGTTAGCTGTGGGAGCCTTGTGCTCAGCATCTGAGACTCTAAAACCACACAAACTCCTCCCCCCCACCCCAAATAAGGACCCTGCACGACAGGGCATTTTATAGGGGTTTTATCTTTCCCTGAAGTTTCTGGCATAAGTCACTATGGGAGGGAACTAGTTTCAATTGAGCATTGGTGCAATCGGGCATGGAAAATGCTACATTTCGCAAATCAAGGAATAAAAGAAATAGGTTTTCATCTGTTTCCTCAGAAGCAAGTGTTTCTGAAAAGAGCAGGTTTCACTTCTCATAAGTGACCAGAGAGTAAAATCCATATTGATTTTACATTAGAGGGCTTTTGTGCGTTTGTTTTTAAAAACACTAAAAAAGTCAGAACAAATGAGGTGCCATTAAATACTACACAGCAAAGCATTTGTTGTAGAGAAGATTTTTATATACATGCCTTTCCTGATCCTCCCCATGCATCTACATGCTTTCTGCCTACAGCACTCCCTGTGCCCAGCAATTTTGGCAGTCCAGTTTGAGAGATGCTCAGACACAGGCCCTCTACCCAAGAATGTAAGATTGTCAGGAGACCACGTAAGCAGAGATGTGGCAACACAGACCTGGTATAAGCAAGTGTAAGTTCACCGAAATCAATGGGTGTTGCACCTGGTTACTGAACCCCTGGAAACCTGTTCTCACACAGACTGGTATAAGCCTGGAGAAACTCCAGTCAAGTCAATGGAGATACACTAGTGTAAACGCAGAGTGAGATCAGAATTCAGCTCTTGTTCTCCGTTAAATGGAAATCAAAACGGTGAACAACAGCACTATTATTCACTACCCCTCCCGCAACACAACACACTTCCTGACAAATGACTCCAATGCACATCACGGGGAGCACATTCAGATCTTAACGTGCGGCTGGCAGCAAGATATTCTCGATTCTCCAGGTATTGTAAGGATATCTGTCTAACACCACAAACATCACCCCCATGCGTGCACACGCTGGGGTTAGTTATACAGACACGGATTTGTTTTCACACACACACACACACACACACACACACAGATCCTGACAGTGTGCAACATGTGCATCTGCATACATCCATCACAGGCTGCTTTAAAGATATCTTGAGGCCTCCTGCAGCATTGGCTTGGGCACCAGTGGCAGCTCACAGCCCTGCTGGAAGAGTGTAGCCCTTCCCGGCCTACAGGAAGCAAAGCCACTCCTGACTCCTGTGCCAAGAGCAGAAACTGAAATAAGCTGCCATTTTGTATTGCCAAGTGAGAAACTGCGCTGACAGTCCACTTTCCAGCACAGCCATGCGGAGAGACGGGTGGCACAAGTAATCAGTTCCTGGCACATACTGGTCCTGGTCACGCTGAGACATAGTGATGAGGTCTCGGAGGATTGCACAGTAAATGCTGTGGGTGTTCCGTGCTTCAAATCGCCCTCAGTTCAGATGCTAGGTAGCAAACAAGTGAGAACCCTCTCAGCCCAGCGTCCCTCGGACACTGTCCTGCTGGGATCACTTAATGCACCTCAAAACTATCACACGTCTGTGAGGAAACAAAGACTCTGCCTGAGCAGCCACCGACTTGCCCTGCTCACTCCCTGTCTCACGGTTCAATGGCCCTCTCCCCCTGGCTGAGACCATATGCAAGGCAAAGACCCAAAACAGTGAGTGAAGGTGTAGGTCTCTGTAGACTCAATAGAACCTGGTGCCCACTGACTTTTAGCTCCAGTACAAGTGGCTGCTTAGCCTTGGTTCCTTCCCAGTCCAGCTGGGGCCTGGGCTAAACACCTTTTTCAAGCAGCTCCCCTCCCCGCTCCTTGGGCCAGCTAGCTTGAATGCATCCCACTGCTACCATCTTGGTTCCAGGATTCGGTGATTTAAATTATTTGCAATGGCTAGAGAAAGAAAAACAGCCGGTCCTGATTTGGGGATAGAGGAACAAAATGAAGGTCAGGCCCTTGTAATATGGAGTAGCTAAGAGGGGTTCTCCATGCCTTGTCTCTGTTCCTATCCCTTGCCCCGAGTCTTACTGCTTCTCTCCGCTTCCCTCCCTCTCCTTATCCCCCACCCCACCCCATACCAAACATCTAACATCCTCCCCGTCACCCTCAACATCCCCTTTACATGCAAATATATCAGAATCCTGTGCATCTACATCTACCTCTTTTCCTACGTTTCTCTACCTATTTATACAGCGCTTATGTACATCTCTATTTCAGTTCTTCAGAAATGTTCCTTTCTATACAAGGATCAACTGCCAGCTCCGGGCTGGAGTGACTGGTGAACCCCAAGAGGTTCACAGGAAGTGAGGAAATAGAGGAAGTTGGAGTTGACTGGCCCATCCTCACTGGGAAACCACTTCTGCAGCCTCCACATCCCAGTAGAGACGGGCCTGAGCCATCGAGTTTGGACTTGGATCCGAACGTCTCAAAGTCCAGACGTGTTTGGATCCAAGGATTTGGTTCTAGCCTACCACTAAAACAAAAGGGACAAGTCACCCATGTGCCTCTTCCTCCTTCGCCTGTGCACGGTGTACTGGCAGACGGCGATACTGCCTCCTTTTGCTGGTGTCTCCTATCCAAAAGCAATGGACAGCTGTTGACCTGGGCTGGGGTTAGTTACGTTTCCCAGCAGCTAACATTGAGCATTAAAATCCACTGCACCAACAGCAGCGGCCAAATCAAAGAGCGTATTATTATTTATATCACTAGTGCTTATGAGCCCTCACCATTCAGCTAAAAAGGGCAGATAAGAGGGAGCCACCTAAGCGGCTACTGAGAGCATCTGTTAATTACGAGCCAGAAAGTTTTACTAGTTTTTGTCTCTCCTATCTGGACTGTTGGGCCAGAAGTGTAGGATTTCTGCCCTAGTGATCGCCAGGAAAAAATTAATTCCGAATTTAATCATCCTAAATTGGGATCATCGGCCTGGCTCCCTCCCTCCCGCCCACCCCCCGACTGGCTCAGTGAAAGCTTCCACCAAACAAATGGAAAAACAAATGAAACGGTCACCAATAAACAGACCCAGCTAACATAGTAATGTCTGAACACTCATTATGGAGGGACTCCAATAACCATTCATGAGGAGGGAAGACACAGCCCTGCCACTGGGGGTCCTGTCCCTGAACGTCGGGACAGCCAGCGAGGATGATCCAGGGGGATCTCAGCTGCCTCATGGGGACATAGGACAAAAAAGTTGAAGAAATACAAATTCTAAAACCCCAACCAATCCACTCAGGCTGATGCTGTCCAGGGAGCGATTCTAAAACAGCAGCAGTATGGGACTCGAATGCAGTCACCTTGTCCAGAAGCCGTTGGACAAAGACAAACCTGTGCTGGAGAAAACTAACCATGTCCATGCTCTCTCTCCATCCACCGCCCTCCTTAATCTCTCTGACCCCTTAAAGCCCGGGGGAGGGGGGCACTTTTCTTTCTCCTCCTTTCCCAACAATAAGAAGGAATTCTAAAAATGGTTTGTGTCTCAAATAAAGAGCAAATTCAGAATGAAAGTAAAGTCACCGGGCATAAAATACACCCAAGTCTGGAGAACAGGCCATATGTACCCCTGGGGTAACAGCACTGACTGCAGTGGACTTACAGAAGAGATGGATGTACCCACATATATTCACTGAGGGGGAAACGATGTAAACCTCTTTAGGAGATGCCAAATCCCCATATAGGTGTGCTTACTAATCCCTCAAACTAACACCACAGCCGCTGCAGTGGTACAGCTCAGCACACCTCAAATAATACATTAAGCTGTGCATTACATATTCATTAGATAGTTTCAGAGAGTTAATTGATGGCTATTTATTAAAATCAAGCTTCTGCTTTTATGAGACTGTCATTAGACCTCAACAAACAGGGTCAGTTTCCCAAAATGTACATTTTTTAGGATACGTTTCTTTTTAGTTATATTGTTTACTGAAGTTAATGGAGGGACTCCAAATTTACACACCAGTGCATTGGGGACCAGAATCTCACCGTTTAGGCCTCTGAAATCCGATTTCTTCAAGAATTTTGCATCCACACGAGTGTCCCTGAACAAATGCCATGATTTTTGCTTATTGCCCAGACAATCTTGCAACTTCCTGATATGTTGTACTAAGTTGGAAAAATCCTGCTTCACCTCTATAATGAATTTGGGACTACAGGTCAGGCTCTCTGCCAAGCCGATAGGGGCTGGAACAGGAGAAGGAGGAGCGAATGACCCCCTGCAGACTTAGGAGTGGTACTGGTGGGCTCTGTCCTTCAGCCCTCCCTGGCCAGCCCCATCAAATGTACAACACAACAACCCCATCAAATATGCATTTTTAGTGCATCTTATCCTCAAAGGACTTTACTAATAGTAACTAATGAATCCTCACGACAGTCCTGAGAGGTAGTTAAATTAATATTATTGTCCCCATTTTACAGATGGAGAAACTGAAGCAGAGAGGTGAAGTTACTTGCCCAAGGCCCATAGAGGGAGCCAGTGGCAGAGATGGGAATAGAAATCCTGACTCCCAGTACTATGCTCAAACCACGCCTTTCAGTTCCATTTCATAAGGGATAACTTCACTTACCAAGCCTACATTACATATGAAGTTCAGTAGCTATCACAACACAATTTCCTGCGATCTGCATGAGTGTCTGACTCTGCTTTTCCTCCACACTTAACTAGAAACAGGATCATCGTCTCCAATTCTCCCTGAAAGTATGGCTGAATCACAGTCCAGTGCCACGGAGATAAACTGAGACATCACAAACAGACATAGCGCCTTCAACATACTGAGAACTGCCTCCAAAACTCACAACAGGAGAATGGAAGTAAGTGACCAAGGAGGTATTCCAGTTGCTGTTCAGGTAGCAAGCTCCAGACACTGGAAAATTATCATGGATTCCCATAACCAGGACTTCCTGTATTAGTGAAAAGAAGATCCAAGAAATCTGGGAGTAAAAGACAAGGTGCTCGATTCTGCATCTGGGGGCAGCGTCTGACTGGTATGTCAGCACTCACAAAGGATATTTAGACATCTGATAAATACGTTGCACTGCTAACCTGTGAATTTATAATGCATCCAGCACCATGGTATCTGGAGACTATCTATACATACGATGACTATACAGGTCATAGCATTTTCCATCTGAAGATCTCAAATCATATAACAAACATTAATGACTAAGCCTCATAGCTCCTCCTTGAGATTGGGATACAAATCCTATTTTATTTTACAGGCAGGGAAACTGAGGCACAAAGACATTAAGTCACTCACAGTCTATGGCAGAGCTGGGAACAGAAGCCAGGTCTCTAGAATTCCAGTCCGGTACCTTAACTGCGAAGTCATTTTTCTCCAAGTGCCTACTTTACATGCAGGTATAAACCCCCAAATCCACTTACTAAGTCTCCCTCCTCACACCAGTACACTTTGCTTATAAACATAAGATGTTCTCAACAAAGAACAGATTTGCAAGGCAAATTTGAGTTTCAAAGAGTTGGGCCTAAATTTTTCAAAAGAAACCTGCAGGGCTGGCTGGAATGCCATACGAAGCCTGCGCTCGGAGGAGGTCAGGAGGACCCCACCACCCCCCAACTTTTACAGAGCAGTTTAGTCAGTTCTCCTCTTTTCTCAGAGAGGGACAACTAGCCCTTTGCAGAGAAAACTGTTACATCAGGGCATCCAGGTGCAATCCTGGGAGATAATATACATTTGCTTAACAAAATAAAGTGAGGGAGGAAGTTCTGCTTGGCTCCTCTCTCCCCCAGTTTTAAAAGGAAGTCTAAAATATAGTCAGATTCAAATACTACTACTACTACTAACAATATTAAAGTCATAATCAAACTTTTCCTGCTTCAGTCAGTTGGCTGTACTTACACGGCTGACACTCATGGTCTATATCTGCGGTACAACGTCACTGTCGATTTGCAGAAACGGTAGCAGTGCACCTGCACTCCCATCCCCCACATATTGTTGCCCATGGCCTCAATCACCAACACCTAGCTGCAATAGGAAAAGTTGTCATGTAAAAAAATCTGGCAACTGAGATTATGTGGAAATGGAGCTGAAGGATTGTGATGGGGAGAATTCTTACACAGAAATATTCTACACAGCAGGAAAACCAACTTCTCAAAAGGTGCAAAAATCTATGGATTTGATGTTATGATCTTGTAGTATTTACATTCTTGACAAAGCAGGAGTGCTCTGTAGAGCCAGATGAAAAACATTCCTGCTGTCGGTGGTGCCTCACGGTTCCCGTGAAACTTTGTTTTTTTGGATGTTGCCTGGGATTTTCAGGCAAACCAATAAAAAGGGAGGTATTTCCATGGGGGATGGCCATAATTTTACTGATGAAACAGCAAAAATTTCCTACTAGGACAGGTTTACAAAAAAGGAGTTTGGCCCAGGAATTTTTCTGCCATGTTAAATAAAAAGCTGTGTTTGCAGCTGACCAAGAAAAAGGCAAAACATTTTCAACAGGGTAGAAACGGGAGAACAGTTGGCATCCTTTGGCACAGCTCAACCATCCCAGGTTGCCAAGGTGAAAAGAACCCCCCCACACACACCCCCATGTAGACCATTGAAGCCAGATGGTTGTGAAAGTAGTTTCCAGAATGAAAGGAGAGGCCATTTGCCATAGCACTGGCAACATTTGCTATGGTTGAAGGGGACAATATTTTTTCCCTTCATGCCCATCACCTCCCCCTTCCCCAAACATTAACCACAATAGTAGCTAAGGTCAAGGAGACGGGGAGGAGGCAGCTGTAAAGGCTAAAGAATAGTTTGAAAAAGGAAAGATGCTTCCATGTGGCTCACTGGCTGGATTTCCCTTTCCAGGGTCCTATATGGCTCACAGAACTGAAAGAGATGGAGAAGGCAGCAGCTCCAGGTCTCTAATGGTTGAAGGCCATGGAAAGCAGGGGGCTGTCTGCTCAAAGTGTCTGCACAAGAAACAAACCCGTAGAAAACTGACCACGTGAGCTGGCATATTCTGCCAATCGTCCCTGCATCTAAGTCCTCTAGGGCTACATAAGTCAGGACAGTGAGAGGGTCTTGGAGACAGTCATCCCAAGAGACCCAAGATACTGCCCTGTTAATATGAAGAGCTACCACGATTAACCCAGAAAGTGCTCGAAAAGTAAACATCCTGCATGGACGGTTACAAAGCAAGAGCAGAAGAAAGAAGGGTCTTTGCAAGTGAAGTGAAGTTTGCCCTGTACAGAGAGTCAGCAGAAGGCCTATGCACCTCATCAAAATAGAGCTTCCGGGAGACTTGAGTGGTGCGTAGACATTGTGCTACCCCTCTGCACAGGGACTAGTTTCACCTATAGATGGGAAGCAGTAGTAAACAGCCTACCTCTGTGCAGTGCCACCAACTGGAGGGCGTCCAGAGTCTTGTGACATTAGCATATTTGGGTACAGATCCACAGATTGGGAACCTTGCAGACTGAGGTTCCTGGAAAACTTTGTGGTGGTACCTACTGCCAACTGCTTCCTTCCCCATTGACAAAAAGTCTTTCTAAAAAGACAGCTGTCCTGTTGGACTGCGGCTAGAAATTAGTTTCTGTTTTTCTCTCTGGTGCGAATATGGGCTCAGTGTTTACACCTTGTGTGCAAGTGACATGAAATCCAATCCAGGTCCTAGTGAAGTCAAGGGCAACCCTTTAAACACACAGTAACCAAAGAAATACGCATTCAGGCCACAGGCAGGGTTGGTTTCCCACCTAGCCAGAGCCACCAACTGTATACTTGCCAAAATGCCTCAATCCGTGCTCAAGATTCGGATTGTTATCCGAGTATCCTCCTCTCCCTTGTGAGCAAATTTGTCTCATTTTGGATGGAATTTTTTAAGTTGGAAAAAAATACCACTGTTTATCACAGAGTTCTCTCCGCTGTGGTTTGAACCTCATCAGGATTTTGAGGTTTGAAAGTGTTCAGTAATTTTTATTGTTGTTTCTGAACATCTGATGAGACTGGAAACAAAAACCTTAATAAAAAAAAAAGTCTTCTTGGGAGATTTCTAGGTGAAATTTTTAAATTCACCTAACAGCTTGACTCACTGATATTGCTTGATCTAAACTGTTCATTTTTACAAAGCATCTGAAACTCTTAGATGCATTTCCAAACCACTGAGCCCTTTGAGGTTCAACCATTAGCAAGAATAATAGTCAAAGCACGTGTTAACCATAGCAAGACTGGTAAAAATGTTGTGGCCATCCCACTTGAAAAAAAATCAACCTTGGGAAGTATACAAGTGAAAATCCTGTGCCTTGGAGATTCTGTGCAAAGAAGTACCTAGGTCCTCCCACAATTCACCTGAGACTTTTTCTACATCCTGAATTCACTTAAAGCAAAAACACCCACATGAAATACTTTAAGTATAACCGGTTTATTCCCAGGCAGGCTACGATCTTAGCACTCCAGCACAAGGGAACAAATACACAAAGACCTGGATGCACTGTTTGATCTTGCCACTTAGAAAATACCTAAAATATTTTTGAATATAGGAATATAATAATACTTCGCATTTATATAGCACTTTTCATCTGTAGACTTCTAGGTGCTTTACAAAGGAGCTTAAGTATCATTATCTCCATTTTACAGATGAGGAACCTGAGGCACAGAGTGATTAAGTGACTTGCCCAAGGCCATACAATGAGCCAGTGGCAGAACCAGGAATAGAAACCAGGGATCCTGACTCCTAGCCTCACATTCCATTCACTACACCAGAGTTGCCCCTTGTATATAGACTTATGCAATCCAGAGAGAAACTGATGGACATGTGAATCCGTCAAACTAATCTGAGTAGAAAATACACTCTGGTGAAGAATTGGAATGGCACTGGTAAAAGGAGGAGAACATAACTCCTCAGACTGAATCCTGGGAGTGTTAAAACCCAATGCATCTATCACATTCATTCTAAAACTGGGGTGGAGTTGGAACAGGGGAGGGGACATATCAGCAACACATTTAGAACTGATGCAAGGTGACAGAATTTGTTTCTACTGCTTGCAGCTAGAAGCAATTATTCAGCTACGGGGACCAAAAGTTACCTTCCAAAAGCTCTCAGGCGTTGTTGTGTTTGCCCTGTTTACATTAATCAGTGGGGCAATGGATTGGAAGATGCAGACTGAAGTTCACAATTTTGGGGAGGGGGGGGTACACCAGTTGAACCATTTCCATTCACACACTACACAGGAAAAAAAAAATCAGTTCTCTCCCCTCACTTTGCAGCAAGGTTAAAGAATGCAAACACTCCTGTAGTGAGATCTTGTATTCTAAGACTTCATTAATTTTACAAAGTGAACTACAGAATGTTACTAAGAATAATAATAAATTGTCAACCTAAACCCCCTCCTCAAATTTGACAAAGTCTAGTTTGAGATAGAAGATCCTTGGATTTAAATTCCGCCCTCCACCCCCATTTTTGCAGGTTTGCAAAGAGAGGTTACCATAAGTTAACAAGTTTCGAGAGTGTGCATGTACAGGACCTTGCACAATTCCACACATCTACTTATTCTGGAGGGTTTTTTTGGGGGCGGGGGGAGGAGGGGTTGGACAGAAGTAAAAGATCATTTGTGTTTTTGTTACCCATCATCCTCAGGCAAAAAGGTGGAGAGGCCATGAGATTTTGCACTGGTAACGTTTTCTGGGATAATTTTAGAATAATGCATTACAAAATTATCAGATTAACTGGATCATCAGTTCCAATCTGGATTGTTCTGTGTCACTTCATTGTTTTCTCTGGAATCGAAATGATTCCTGTGAATTCAGGCCATTTGTTTACTTCCATGTTCCTACCTAAATACACACTGTATAAATATACATTGTCATCTGCACCGATTTTTTTTTTAAATCTATACATACTTTTGGAAACCAGGATGTAAAATCTCATCCCTCTTCCAGCACTCATAAAACTGAAGCCGTAGCAGAGAGAGGGGATTCGAGGGGCAACAGATTCTTATGACAACACTGAGTTTGAATCCCTCTCACGCTGAGCCCTGCAAGCCCCAACCTCACCTTTTCCTGTTCCAAATGGCAGGGGGTGGGTGAGGCTGGGGTATTTTCCCCTCCATCCCTCTAATTTAGGATATTCCTCCCTCCCACCCCCACCCCCCTATGATCTGCACTAAATGGAAGGTGTCCTATGAAGGGGAGAGCCTCTCCCAGTGGGCAAAGACTGGATGCTGGGTTCCCTGGATGTGATACCAAAAACATTCAGCTTGTTGGTATGAGAACCTAGGCTGAAGCTCACACCCCATCTCTCCCCACATGTGTCTGTAGCTCATGAAATCTCCTCTCCCTCCTCCCCCCTCCCTTTGAACCTTCTCTGGCTGGTGCTATGCTAAAGTAAGGTGGCATGCCCGCCAGAATCATCGTGGTCCACGCTGTTGAGAATAGCTGTCTGGTCCTCAGGGAGCTGCCGGTGGCAAAGGTCATCCTTCAATGCGGAGAGGCGAGCGAAGGGATCCTGACGAGAGTGTCTCTTCTTCTTGCGGAGGGAGACCGCTTCGTCAGGCCACAGTACCTGAGAGTTGGGAAGTTGCTGAACCTGGGAGGCAGAACCATCTGAAGAGGAAGAGGGAAGGAGAAGGACAAGAGGATTAGTTATCTATAACAATTCCATGAGTCGATGTGGTGCTTTACAGAGCGTGTAAAACAAATGCCTGGGCCCGGCCCTGAGAAGCTCACAGTCTAAGTCAGGATAATGTACCAACCTCCGTGGTTTGGCTGGGGAGAAGGTTAACATAGGATGCTCAGCTGACGGAGGAGGATTTTTGGAGGGATTTGATGGAGGATAGGAAGAGGAAGGTTGTTTTAAGTGTAGGGGACAGTGCGAGGGAAGGCACATAGCTCAGCGGGGGAGTAGGAGACAAAGGGAAGAGTCAGGACAGAGGACCTGAGGAGAAGATAAGGGGCTGGAGAAGGAGCAGGAGGAAATGACAGCAGAGATGTAGGTGGAGAGATGTAGGAGGATCTTGAATTTAAATGGACAGAAAGCCACTAAAGGCATTGGAAGAAGGGTCATTCCAGGGCTCTCCAGCTAATTTCAGGACTACAAAGGGAAGTTATCCCCTTCCTCTTCTGGACTAAGATCTGGACTAACATCCCAAGGAAAAACAAAAAAACGAACAGGAGATGGGGCCTTCCGTTTTACAGCTGAAAGGAGCAGGGAAGCCCTTGTGGCCTCATGGAAAAAGAGCCTGCTTCCTTTGTAAGGAATTGTTGAGCAAGAGAATAAAACATAGGTTTTATAGTAGCTCAAACAGAGACCTTCAGACCACGGGCCTGAATCAACTCCCATTAGAGTCAGAGACTTTAATGAGCGTTGGATCAGGCCTCAAATGGAGGATGGACAGGGAAACTAGTGGGGAGTCTTGTGATCCTCACACTCACTGGATTGTTTTCTGGATTTTGAGGAGCCCTTGGATGACTTTTTGGGCTTCTTTATCCGCTGGTATTTCAGAGCTTCGAGCCTCTCAGGTGCAGCAGCGTTCCCGGATGGAGATGGATGTTCTCTAGAAAGGAAAAGCAGACACGTGCCATCAGTGGCCCCCTGTCACACTCCGGCCAGAAGAGTTCTCGGATGGGGAGGGACCGGTCATCCTCTGCCATGGAAAGGAAAATGTGAGGAATCCGGGACCGATGGAGTAAGGTCAGCCAGCTGCACTGGAGCTAAATACGATGCTGGTGGAAACATGACACCATCTACTCACTGCCTTTGGGACAGCTGTAGTTTCCCCCCCAACACATACACACTTCCCTGTCCACTGTTTCCCTCCCTCTCAAACCATGGATGAGTGTAGGTCACGCAGAAACAGGCAAAGTTTAGAGAGAGGTGTTAGGCTCCAGCCCTGGTTGTTCCTGTGGACAGAATCAAATGCCTGCCGATGGCTAAGCTGTGGAGGAATTGGAAGAGCCACACTGCAAGACAACCGGTACCGAGGCTCACGTCTTAAAAATGCATTTGTTTCTGTAATTTCAAAACCATTAAAGTAGGTAGAAAGGGGCAGATCCTATGTCCGACAAGGCACTTCTGGGAACCCGCATCAAGCCCCTTTAAAGAAAGAGAAAGCAAAAGGCGTATGGAAACAGGACAGCGCCACCCATGTTACCGCTATGCACATCGCCAGCTATGGCAACAGTGGCCCAGACAGACAGAACGCAAGCAGTGACCCTTCCCTTTCCCAACCCCACAGCAAAAACAGGGACCAAATGGCAAACAGAAACACAAAGAGTTTACAAGCCAGCATTGCTGGGGCTGGCAAGTTGGTACCCCCTTCCAGGATCACGGCTCAGAGCCACAACACACACAATAAAATAAGAGCTGACAGGTTGTTTAATCCTTCGATGCCAGGCTTCTGATTTTCTTCCCCAGTAGGATAAGACATACCATGACTTTGAAATTAAAGTACTTACAAGATATTATCATGGGGAGAGGGGGAGCAGATCTCTATTTCCTACATCGGGATTTTCATTCAGTGGTTTCATTCATGAGTTTCCCCAGCCCATTTCACTGACTTATTGTATGGCTGGTTTATTCTTCCACCAAAGCCTGTTACAAGGTAAATGTTTTTTCTAGAGTTTGGTGCATGAGAAACGGGCTCTTTGTACAAGGTTTTTTTGTGCAGTTCTTTCCAGTCCGCTAGTCCTTCCCTGACTAGATATTGGAAGACAGGACACTGGGGCCAGGTGAGTATAGGAAAACCCTTCCCTCTGGACGAAGTCTGTCCAACTATACATTTTCCAGTTTTCACAAAGTCTTTATTGACTTTCCCATTCTTTTCCTGGTTTCCCATACCTTTCCCCAGCCAGTTCTATCTTGAGGCACCTCTCCGCCAAAACTGAGAGTTTGCTATCCACCAAAGAAAGCGTCCGAGTCTTGACAGTTAGGGCCAGATAGACTACAGACAAGGCCTGTACTGGAGCCTTCAGACAGCTCAGCTGTGACCTGCGGTTCTCTCAAGCCTTGGAGCCCTTTGTTCTAGCGGAGTGCTACATTCCTGACTACCAGGCAGAGTGCCAAAGAGTGTGGGGGTTTTGAGATATGAGCACGTGCCCGTAAGTGAATAGGCCAGGTCCACAAAGTAGTTTTCACTGTGAGACCAAGCCAATATTCAAATCCAGCTCTCCTGAGATGAAAGGGCAGAGATTTAATCCACCAGGCCTCCAATACATTCCCCCTCCCTCTGTCACACCTTTCCAACTAGGAGGAGACGTTCTTTTGGTATCGTTACTGACTCACTGGAGACCACTGATCAAACCGTCTCAAAAATATTGTACCTGCTAAGAGAGGGGTAGCTTGTAACATTTCCTGAATTCCCAGGCTCTCCTCATCCTGGTAGTGTTATCAAATGTCAGCCTATCCCCCATCTCCTGCTATACGCCAGGTAAATGCTATGGTCAGACAAAAAAGTCTGTTGTTTTGCATCTCCTGGGGATGCACAAAGGTTGACCACGCTTCACAGAAATTTCTGAGAGGAAGAGGAAAATAAAGGCAACAATTCTTTCCTGGATGGCAGTTTCAAAGAGTTAGCACCAGCAAGGAATATTGCACTTACACCTTCCGCCCATCAACTGGAGGGTTCAAAGAAAGAGAGACTGGGCAATGGGAGCAAGAATGGGGTGCCTGTGTCAGATCATGTACACTTCAGTAACACTCCCCTGAAAGGGTTAATCTGAACCCAAATAGGAGCTGGTCCTCTGTTCACACTTCATTGCATTTGAGATTAACCAAGAGTAGTCCAGCACTCTGGGACTCTCATTCGCTCCCATCGACTCCCCTGTGCTCATCGTCAAGACAGCAGAAGAAACTGAGATGAAACCGATAAGCGTGGGGTTGATGGAAGACGACATGTTCAGAGAGGCAAAACTCACTTTTACTTGCCTGCTGCATGGCAGCCTACAGTAAAAAAGTGGGGGAATTCTAGTTTTCCATACAAAGAGATGGAGAAAGCAAATAGGGCAGGCTGGAGCAGCAGACGCAAAAAAAGATTTGGACAAAGACAATGATTACATTAGCCAGTGCATTTCCCACAGATAAAAGTGCCATCTATGGAGAAAATATGAAAGGACCTAAAGCCGGTCTGGTTTGCCTGACAGTCTGTGAGGAATCTGCACTGTTAATGGCCCTAAACCGAAGCAGCTCTCTTTCACTTTCGGATGCCAGTGTGAACTCTCCTCTATCAGCCATCTGGTTATTTGGAGCCCTCCCTGAGATCAATCGAATACACAGAAGATTCTTCCTGTTCAATGTAGAGTATGAATCAAGAAACCAGCCCGATTCAACAGCAGGTCAGGAAGAGAAGGATTTGTCCTTGCAAAGCACAAGAACTTGCAAGACACGAATCCCAATCCCTTGTTGTAATCAGACCAGTCTGGTTCTGAATAGGTCTGGGGAGGACTGAACAAAGGGCGGGTTGGAGTAGATACTTGGATTTTATTCTCTGCTCAGTCACTGCAAGAGCTTGGCCAAGTAACTTATCCCTCAATGTGTCTCCATTTCCCCATCTGCAAAATAAAGAGAATACCTACCGCACACAGGGTTTTGTGAGGCTTAAAGTGTTGCAACATACCCTGATAAAAGACATCACAGAGGAATTAAGTATCTGTGGGCCAAATTCAGGGCATTTCATCCATCTAGCTGTGAAAATCTGGATGCGGAGATTATTCTTTATTCTCATCCTGTTCAGCTGGTAGCATCTCATTGTAGTCGACATTTGTTCTAGGAGGGAACTCCGAGTGTTTCATATTTACAGAACCGGGCTTCCCATTACTCGATGCTACGTCCCTCATTGCATTTCGGGGCTAAGGCCACAGTGGCATGGTGAGACTGTACGCTGGGACAAGACGAGCTGACATGGGAAGTGGCTTTTGTAGCAGTAGGTGCTTAGCTAGAATACTGCAGGCTGGTGACTTCCAAGGTTTTTAAAGACACTGATATGACTGGCAAAGTTTCTTGATTTTGCTAACAGCACTGAGAAGCATATGGAACATAATGAGCAATTTGATTGAGCAGCTGGGGACCAGCAGATGCAACTGAAAGTGTAAGGTTTAGGGTATAAATCAGCTCCTTTCATATTCACCGCTCAAGCATAGACATCAAGATTTGACGAACGTGCAAAGATACAGATTCTCAGGACCATCTCTGATGGAACAGCTGGAACTCCCCACAAAGCAGGCGGCATTAACTTCAGCAGAGGACAAAACACCTTTTTAGACAAGCCACAATTCCCTCCTGTTGGAACCAAGTGAGACTTTCACCCTCCTAGGATGGGCTAGATTTAGGATGTGTAAGAGCAATGGGACTACAGTTAAATTCCTCTCAGGAAGACAATGTTTGCCTCCAATGGTGAATACAAGGGTTATAGCTTAATTTTAGAAGCTAGTGTCCCCATAACATCTATTTGGTGTTCTCTGATGAGCCACACATTATTTTGTGCCGCTGAACAACCACCGATACAGGCAATGCTAACGGCTGCCCTCCTCTGCACCCAGCGTACACACACATTACTCCATGCCTGATTTTACTGAGTTTTCAGTTTTAGGTCAATGGGATACAAGCAAGTGTGTGGCTGCTATATGCGGGCAGGTACTGAGTGAACTTCTCCAAACAGTTCTGACAATGTAACTCACTCCTGACCAAGAGTGACCAATTATTCCAGTCCTGGTCTTCCATCACAAGGTGAAACAGCTTCTGCTCTTTAAATCCTGAACCGAGAAGTAGTTCTAACCTGCAGCACCTATTCCACTGCTGGTCCCCACTGCCACACAACTATACCGATATCGCTCAGCCCTGAGCTGTAGCAGCCCCTGCCACAAGCCTTTAAGAAGATATTCGCAATTGTGACATTTATGATGCTAGAAAAATGCCCACTAGAGATTAGGATGAAACTCCATCAAACTAATTTCCATTTGTTCTCTAAAATAGGACTCCCCACTCCCACATTTCCAGCCACACACAGAGCAAGTGCACTAAACCCATGTTTCACCATAAATAGAGTTTGACCTCAGGTGTCGTAGATGTAAAGAGTGGACAATGGCAAAGGAAAGGACAGGTACGCTGCAACAGATTTATAGCCTCGCTACCACCCTTTATTTCTGCAGTCAACTCCGACTCTCCTGTTGTGATTGTTTCTAAGACCAGCAAAAAAGACCTCTCATTCCTCCTGCCCCTTTTGTAGTGTTTTGGGCAGCAGCCTATGCACAAAGACCATCCAGAATACACCATGTGTGATGCAGAGGAACCTATCACTGCACTCATTCACTCTGGAGCACTGAGTCATAATAGGGCAAGGTAGCTTTAAAAATGTAGCAGGTATTTTCTACAAGGTTCTGAAGTGAACTCAGATCCCAGAGTCTACAAAGCATCAGGTTTGGGTCAGAAGAACTAATGGAGAAGTTCTCGGTCTTCAATTTACCACACTTCCAGATTAGCGTGAGTCAGAACCATATGGTCAGAAAGTTACTGAAGGCGCCTCACAGTTATTGAGGGAGTGCACAAAGCAGCCAGCTTCTG